GGGCTGGAGCACCTCTGCTATGGAGACAGGCTGAGAGAAGAGGAGGCTCCGGGGTGATCTTATAGCAGCCTTCCAGTACCTGAACGGGCTACAAGAAAGCTGGAGAGGGACTTTTTATAAAGGCCTATAGTGCTACAGGTGTGTTGTTGGGTTAGACACAGGGGATTTGTCTCATCCCTCAGGATTTCAGAGTCTTGAAGTGTCTGAGGTAGTTTACCAGGAGATTTTATGCATGTAAAAGTGAGCAAAGTGAGCCTTCATATGTGGGGGGAAAAAGGAGTCTTAGAGCTCACTCAATTCGGCAACAGCCCAATGTTCACAAGAGCCAAGGGGCTTAGGGCATCTATGGAGTCTGTCTTCAATCTACTGGTGTTTCCAAAGATATTATCTGTCCTGAAGGTGCAGGGATGTAGTAAGGTGAGATTATGAGACACAGAGATACTTTGTGAATGAGCCTCATGGACAAGAAGAGGGAAGAGCTGGTTGAAAATCGTGTGTGGAAAGTTCTCTTTCCTTTTCTGGCTGCTCTTGCTCTCGTATGACTGCTCTGACCTGTGCTTCCACCACCTCTCTTTGCCCTGCCCATGTATTTGAGCCCAGGCTTTTTCCCTGTCTCTGTGGCTGAGTAGGTATGGGGTCCAGAGCAGCTGCTATGGACCTGGCACTGTCCTCACCGGCAAAGAGACAGGACCACCAGAGCCTGGAGAAACAGCAGAACAGCTGGACAAACGTGTTACGGCTGCCAGGGCCTTGCAAGAGAAGTACTGTGGGCATCAGCCCGCCTGTGAGAGCCAGGGACAGTGCAGCAGCTGTGCTGGGTGTCCCTTTCATGTGCAGACCCCCCTGTGCTGCTGCAGCGCTGGAGACCTCCCCTCCTGGGGAAACTCCAGTATTGTAAAGGGATGGTGATGCTACTTGGTGGTGGTTCTCAACCTTAGGTGAGGTTAGGCATGGCGAGTGCCCCGTTAGGCTGTTGGAAGGGACATAATGCGCTGCACCTTTGGCTAACTCTTTGGCATAGCAAATCAAAGTGGGTTCAAGATGTTGTCTCAGGCCTATTGGCTTGGGAAATGTAAAACCAGAGCCTGATGGAATAGCAGGAGTCCTTTCTGTAGCCTGAACATGATAGAGCTGAACAAACTCGTGGCCAGCTTAAACGTGTAAACCTTTCACTCGTTATCCTGGCTTGACTCTGGTTCGTTTTCTCTTCCTCTGCTTGCAGATTGGAAGTGCCCTCAAACCCTCGGAGCAAGAGGTGCCATGGTGTCACCTCTTTAATTCGAGCAGCACTGCTTCGTTGGGTGAAAGGCTGCACGGTGGATGGCAGTGTCACCAAAAACTCTGTCCAGCTAAGCAATAGGCAGCAGCTTGTCCCCAGGCCCCTCTGGGGTGCCGTGCCCTCCCAGGCGGGCAGGATAGCACCCATCAGCTGCTCGCAGCGCCTTTCAGAAGCTGCAGGCAGCCAACTTCAGGTGCCTGCAGGAACGAGGTCTGGTTCCCCTCTCGCAGCACCTCCCTGGATGCTGCCGCAGCATCGTCGTGTGTGCAGCTGAGTCTCCCCTCTCCCGTGCTGCAGAGCTGCTCTTCTCTCCGGGCTCTGGGAGGGAAGCAGAGATGCTGGGGGAAGAGCTGTGGTGTGGAGGTGGGGAGAGATGGAGCTATCATTAGCGTGGCACCAGCGAGGTGTCTTTGCACCACGAAGCAGTAGCTATCAAAATTGAGTGCAGTATGCTGAACAGCTGAGCAAGGGAACAGATACCGAAAGGAGCCGGCAAAGAAAAAGGATTTTTGAGGAAAAACCCTCTTGCAGCTGCACGTAGGCACTGCCCATCACTGAGAAGAGCTGTGCTGGGGAGTAGGAATTGCCTGTTTATGGTGATTGATCCGCACAGCCCCTGGGATGCTCAGAAAACGGATTAAGGAGAAAAGAATCGCAGGAGGAGGAGGAGGTTCCCCTTCGAAAACGCACGGGCTAATAGAAAACATCCTCTAAATTGTCAGTGTGTCAGGAGACATTAATGTAAGTAGAACATTTTCAAATCCTCAGCATCTTCTGTCTGAATGTCATTGAATTAGCACTAATGCCTTCGTTAGCTCGTTATTCATTAATATTAAATCTTTGCTAGACTAGCTCTTTCTCTGGAAGATGGGGATAATGAGACGTGGGACTGGCTGCAGGACCACGCCGTCGCCGTGGTGGGAGTGTGGGTTTATGTACCAGAACGGCCTTCGGTGGTTGTTTCATCGGCACTTGTGTCTGGCCGACGTTGTCCTGGCTCTTGGCCAGGGGTTTGCCACCAATTAGTGGAAGCGCTTAACGGGAGAGCGGTGCTAATGATGACGCGGATAAATTTCCACCAGCTCCTGCCCTGAAAGCAACTGGCGAGACAGCTGATGAAGGCAAGTTTTGATCTTTTGGCCTATGGTCAGAGTTGCAAAACTGCCTCTGGAATCGCAGAGCTGTTCATCGCCGGCTTCGTCGGGGAGTGTTCCTTCCACCCCCATCACCTTCCTTTGCTTCTTGCCCTCAGGAGAGATTCTCTAGATACAAAGATATATTTTTTTTTTATTTCCAGTCTTTTTTTTTCTCTTTTATCTCTTTTTTTTCTTTCCTCTCTCTTTTTTTTTCCTTTTGTCTCTTTTTTTATTCCCTTTTCTCTCTCTTTTTTTTTTTTTCTTCCCAACTCCCCCACCGTGTCCCATCTTCCCTTCCTCCGCCACCTTTACAGGGGTGTGAGGGTCCTCCTGACAGTGTGACATACCTCGGGCATCATGTGTCAGCCCTTCACTTGGGGCTGTCCTCCCCATGTCCCAGGAGCTGCGTTGGGCCAGATGAGGGGTATGGGATGGTCTCAGAGCAGTCCTGCGGCTCAGCAGGAGAGAGGAGCATTCAGCAGAGAGATATTGCTTCAGGATTGGGCTGGGTAGCTTTGATCAGAAAATGTCAGGCTAGAAATGCCACAGCAACACGTCTTCTCTGGTTTCAGCAGTGGTGGGAAACCACTCAGCATCTGACCTCATGAGTCTGGGTCTGCCAGGAGCAGAAAGGAGTGCAGAAACTGTAGTAAAATAAATTAAAAAGAGGTCAAGCTTTTCGTTTTTGACACATCACTCTGGCTTTGTGGTGGATTTTGTATACAGATCATGTAGAGTTGAGTACCCACAAGTTACTGTGACAATTTGGGTCAGCAAACTCCAGACGTGGTAAGTCTTCCAAACTTTTCTACTAGCAACTACCTTTTGAGCTTCTTGCCAGGTGCTCGAGTGTAGGCATGAGTATACAGCTTCCACCTTCCTCCTAAGCTGTTGTTTTCCGTTGTCCCACTTCTGAAATATTTCTAGACCCCAGCTGCTGCTCTGTGCTGCCTTTCCAGGAACCTGGGCTTAGTTATTCAGTGGAATAAGAGCAAAAAAACACAACCAAGCAAAACCCCCTACAGTCCAAAAGAAGCACCTGCAAAGCCCTGAGTAAGTGAACTGGCTCGCTGAAAAACATAGAATCATGGCATGGTTTGGGTTGGAAGGGACCTCAAAGGTCATCTAGTTCCAACCCCCTGCCATGGGCAGGGACACCCTCCACTACACCAGGTTGCCCAAAGCCTCATCCAACCTGGCCTTGAACACTTCCAGGGATGGGGCAGCCACAGCTTCTCTGGGCAACCTGTGCCAGTGCCTCACCACCCTCTGCGTGAAAAATTTCCTCCTTAGATCTAATCTAAATCTCCCCTCTTCCAGTTTAAAGCCATTGCCCCTTGTCCTGTCACTACATGCCTTTGTAAAAAATCCCTCTCCAAAAAAAAAAAAGCATTTTGCCTGTGGTCTGCTGAAAGGTCTTACTAAACCCCTGATCGTGGGATTCAATCTTGGCACTATCCCGGTGACACCCCTTAGCTTTGCCTTACAGAAAGAGTTAACGTCGGGCACTTGCAGACCTGACAGCCTGCTCTTGTCTGGACAACTTGCAGGGAAGGCTTTTCCTTCCAGAGGGGAAATCCCTCGCAAGGCAGCGGGACAACACTTGCATGCACGATGCCGAAATAACCAGCACCTTGTTTCATTACTCCCTGGAGGCTCGTGAACTCTTTAGACATAAGTTCTCTCCTCCTGGGGTGTGTTCAGCTGAGCCGAGAGGAAATGAAGGCAAATTGGAAGAAAAGACTTTCTGAACTGAGGGTTTCCAGGGTTTTATGATTGCAGGATGATACAGAGTGATTTCAAGGGACTCTTGACACCTCTACCTTTACACTACCATGCCAAGGCAGAGGTGGTCTCTTCCACTGTAGCTTCTGTTCATTATCTTTGCCTTGTTCTTATCCCAGGTTTGTCGTTTCTAGTTGCCATCGTCTTCCATTGCCCAGAAAGCAACGCATCCTCAAGGAAAATCTTGCCTCTGGCTTCTTGTTCTGGCACAATGTGGGGGCTGCAGCATCTGAGGGGGGACACAAATAAATCCCTGAGACTTGCGTGGTACTTGGTACTGAAGCAGCAGCTAAGGGGTGTGATATATGGCGTGGGGAAAGACAAAAGGCATCACTTAAGGAGTTGAATTCCCCCAGTCTGGGAAGCATTTAATTCCCTTAGTCTGGGAAACAACAAAAGAGGTGCCCGTTGGGCATTGCCTCATGCTGGGATAGGCTAGACTCCGGTTTGTAGGTCAAAAGCACTTATAGCTAAATGCCCACACTAAAACCATGCTGCTCTGATTTTTTTTTTTTATTTTATTTTTTCCCCCCCTCTCTTCCAGCAGATCCTGGTGACAGCGGGATCACCCTGAGATGAGCCTCCTGTAGCCAGAGCCACCGCAGTGCCAGGGCTCCCTGCCCTGGGACAATGAGGAGCCACCTGCCAGCCTAAGAGGAAGACTTTGTGACGGTGGTTGGTTTGTTTTTTTTTTTTCCTGAACTTTGTGAAATTTCATGTGACGGCGGAGCCACTTCCCACACCCACCT